ATATATATATATATATATATATATATATATATACACACAACTTTTAACTAACGTATCTAGATAAATTTAGAGAAACGATAGCGCTAATGAGAACCGATTAGTCGATTATTATATATATTTTATCATACACTATTGTATATATGTAAATATATATATAGTGCTCTAGAAATATATATATATATACTAAAAACACAATCATATTCCTTCCCCGATTGTTAATAAGCGTACAATAGATAATTATAAAACGAAAATAAGAAATGAGATCGTGCTTTAAATCTTTGCTAAGTGTCTTCATCTCGAATAACATTATCCTATTTCACGTTGGTTTTTATATTTAACAAGAGTGATATATTAAAAAAATTGATTCTTTATTACAGGCATCAGGAAAACGACATGCAACTTGAGATATATAAAAAGCTTATTATAATCCATTGGTAAATAAATAATAAACGCGTTTTACGGCGTACAAGGCACGCAGGTTCACATTTATATTACTACTTACCTACTACTATATATCTTAGATAACTTACACAATAACAGTATGTCGTAAATAAAAGCAAAGTCTGGCTTAAAGCCGATTATGTGATTCCGCAGAAATTGCTTTTACTTTGCTAACGTTCGATAAAAGCCTCTCGTGTCTTACAACGCTAAAACCTACTTTACATGCACACATCCTTCTTGCTTATTAATAACGTCTCATTATTCATATTTCTCGCAATATACAGGCGACACTTGAAATTGCGTCATCAAGATCAAAAGAGATAGATAGCATCAATCGAAAGTTTCGCAAAACGGTAATGAGTTAAAAATATATAAAAACCGGCAGTCCATTACAGAGTCCATATAAATGCCCAGTTTCAATTATTTCCGGTCGAGCTGACGAAATTTACGTTCTCTTCATTGATTGTTTAATGAATTAGGACGATTGTACAGCCGAACGGAAATAGAAATCCCATGCAAATCGATCTTTGACGATTGCAATTTAGTCATAAAATACAGAACGCGTTTATCAAAAATGAAAAATATATAATGAGAGTTGAGCAATTTCATTTTGTAAAAATCTGATTTAAAAAACGCTAATATATCAAGCGCAGCATCTGAATAAGAGAATGAAATGTTCCAAAATTTTATAATTCGATATAGAACCGGTACTTAAACTCTCGACTATTATCTAAGATTTATAATTTTATCTGAATTTACATATTTAAGAATCCAAAATTAATCACGTATCAAGCATTACTCAAAAAATCTAAAAGAATTCGAAAAACGCGGAGTTATTTTTAAAAACGCGAACTGTATAATATACTACTTATTGACGAACAATTATTTGATTGAACAATTATTCATAATTAACACTGTACAGCTAAATTCTACAAATTCTAAAAATATACATATAATGTTATTCTGAGATAATATGACTAGTACCAGACTCTGCCATAACTGCGCCAAATGTCTCTTGGAAATTTCTTACATCTTGGTAATACTGCCCGAGCATAAAACTGCTACCTCCACTGAAATATATAATCCAATATATATTGTGTATCTAATATATAATAATGTTGTAAAATTAAATGCAAAAAGTTCATTTCAAATTTCATCAAACAAACGAAATAATCTGCATACAATCGTATTAACAAATAGAAAAATCTTATGATATTCGTTAATTAACTAAATGAGCCAATTAATCGTATTTGATTAGCAAGATAATATTTTCTCCAATAAAAAACTGAATAATTCACCAAATGATAATATTCCTAAATTAGAAATGCATGTTTTCTTACTGGATAATACCTTTAAGCTTATCCTCTTTACACACTTATTAAAGATTTGTGTCATCAAAACTTTCCTTCATCGATTTTATAAAAATACTATTTGATAATCGTTTTACTTACTTTGTCGCCCTTTCTCTCACGGGTGGAGAATGATTTGATGGTGTTTTCCGGACAGGCGGCAAATCAATCAATTGATCGACACTACCCATGATAGCATTAGCACCCACGCGTTTTCCCGTTCGCCAGCGTTGAATCAACCACTTCATCCTATGTATACTGATTATAGCAAACACGGCGATTCTGAAACGCACCTTCCTGTTGCGAGACAACCGCGCATAAGAGCGTTGATCTTGAGTCAATTGCGCAAGTACGCATAACGTGTTTTCCTCGCAATACTGATAGCTGCCGACAATGCATAACAGGTACTTCTTCTGATAAGCCAACGCTTTCCGTCTACTTTCCACTCGTAAATATTTGCCGTAGAAGTTTTGTAACTGGAATGCAAAATTCACACATTGTTCTATTTACAGTCTAATCATAGTTAAATTCAATTATAGTTAATTATTAATTATGAAATTTCGGCACACAAATTATTATAAAAAAATATAAAAATTAATCACTATTAGCAACTTTTTTAAATTCTAAGATACAAGAATTGAATCACTTCAATTTTAGATTAATTCGATTTAAATAATTAAATGAAATGTTATATATATACCCTCTCGATAGGAATTGTCTGCTGGCCCGAAGCATGTGTATTTTTCAGTTTTTTCAGTTGCCCCTCGAGCAACTTTACACGTTGCATCGATAATTCTCTATCTGTTCTTATCCTGCCGATTTTATCCTCGAGATTAGTGTTCTCGATAGCGTATTTCTCAACCGTCTCGCTTAATTCCTTAATTTTCTGCATAAAATTCGTGGGAACATCCTTGGTATTTTCAATTAAATCCTTGAATTTTCTTTCTTTTTCTTTTGAAATCGCTAGTCTCATATTGAGCTCCGTCTCTCGTTCTTTCAAGGAATCCACTGTACGCGTAAGCTTCAGTTCTCGATTTGAAAATTCTTTTAGTTCCTGCCTTGCACGATTTATATCGGCCTCCAGTTCTATTCTGATTTCTCGAGCGTCATTGATCTCTCTGCGCAATTCTTTGATCTCATCTAGTTCAGCATTTCGTTGACCTTGCTTCATGTTTTCAGTCAACATCTTCACCTGTTCTTGCAAATAATTACAGTGCTCTTCTCGTGCTTTTAACTCCTCTGCAGTTCTCCGCAGATCTGCCTCTAGAATTTCTTTCAGTCCATTGGTTAATGCCAGGCTGCTGATTAGTCTTTCTTGTTCCTCCGTAGCGATCTCTAACCGCTTCTCGTACTTACTCATCTCGTTCTCTAGTTTCTTTATATTCTCCTTTAGTTGCGCATTGTGCTTTCGACTTTCTTCAAGATTTTCGCTCGTTCTTAAATACAGAAGAAAAGATTAGAAAACAAAATATTGTTTTTGGAACATATAGTTACCTAGTTTTGATTGAAATATAATTAAATTCTATCGGTAAATATCAACATTACAGTGAAAAGATTATGGGCAGATAAATATAAATACTACATAAATTAAAAATTAATTTAAACTAAAAATTAGTACATACCTCTCCGATTCATTTTGTGCGGTTGCAGCAAAATTTGACAAGCTTCTACTGATGTTTTCAATTTCTATCGATTTTCTCATTGACATCAATTGTGAATCCAAATTAATTTGCTGTTGTCTCATCGACGCTAGATCATTACGAAGTTTCTCCTCGTTATCCAGAGAGGCTTTCAACTTTGTTTGTAGGAATTCGATCAACTCAGTGTCCTGTATTCGTCCTACTTCCGCCATTCGACGATGTTCCTCTATCTCCATCCTCAAGAACCTCACCACCTCTCTTTCTGAGAGAAGTTCCTTATCCAGCTTGACCACCTTCTTCATCTCTTCCGTCAAATCCGCTTTCAGTTGCAGAATACGATCCTCGTACTCAGCGATTTGATGTCTCATTATATCTCGTTCGACTTCTAAGTCATCTTTTAGTTTCTTCAATGACTCGTTGTCCTTGCGTACTTCATTATTTCTTTGATGATAATCCTCCATTACTACTCCATCCACAACCTCGTCGTCCTTAATTACCTGCATAATTTGTTTATCCAATCGTGCAGAAAGATTCAATTCTCGCTGGACCATATCTTCGATATCACTATCGTCCTGCGAACGTCGCACAGAAGCATCCTTCAGCTCCAATTCTTTTTGCAAGCTCTGCATCATATCCCTCAATTCCTCATTCAGTCTGCGTTCTTCCTTCAATTTTCTTCTCAATTCTACAATATTACCAGATTCCTTCATTTTGTTTTGAATAGTCTCCAGTGCTCGATGCAGGCTCTTACTATCATCGCTCATCTGTCTGATTACCTTGTCTTTTTCTTTTAGGAACTCCTGCAAATGATGAATCTCTTGGTCCTTATTGCTAGAAGATGATGGCGAGGAAGTTCCCGACTGAACGTCACTCATTCGTCTCGCCATCTCTTCCAACTTACGGATTACCTGATCCCGATTATTCAAACCATCCGTCAATCGTAGAATCTCGTCCTGCAACTCGGTGATTTCTCGCTCGCGCGCGTGAACCTTTGTCTTAAATTCGTACAATTGCTTGTTCTCGTTCTCTATCTCAATATTGCGCGTTTGAAGAGTCTCCAATGAGATATCTTTATCCAGGACAAGTTCCTTAAATCTTTGCAATTCTTGTGTCATATCCTGCAAAGAGTTGTTCCGTTTCATCTGATCCTTCTCTCTATCTTCAATTTCTCTCTTCAACTTCGTATTCTCTGCATTTAATTCTGTAATGATCCTTTCATTCACCTGCATTCTATCATTTTGATCTTCGAGCTGCTCCGACTTCAGTTTCAGAAGGTTTTCTACTTCCTCCAGATCTTTCTTTATTTTACTTTCCGACGCCTGGGCTAGTTCATATTGTCCTCTATAGAAATTTTTATCCCGCACCAAATTTTCGACAGTTTCCTTGAATTCATCTTGCAAGTTTTGATATTGTTTTTGCAAGGTGAC